TGGTAATATGTTTGAACAGGTAGATAAATTTAGGTATCTAGGTTCTACGATAACTAGAAAAAACGAAATTGAAGAAGAGATTAAGGTTAGACTGAAGGCGGGCAATGCTTGTTATTTTTCTGTGACAAAACTACTTAGTTCGCGCCTCTTGTCCCGAAACTTAAAAATTAGAATCTATAAAACAATTATCTTGCCTACAGTTCTTTATGGATGCGAAACTTGGCCGCTTACATTAAGAGATGAGCAGCGTCTTAAGGTTTTTGAAAACAAAGTATTGCGTAGAATATTCGGACCGAAGAAGGATGAGTTAACCGGAGAGTTCAGACGGTTACACAACGCCGAATTGTGTGAGCTGTATCCGGGTAATATAATTGAGGTAATTTCATCGCGGCGAATCAAATGTGCTTGTAAAGTTGTTGGGCTTAGTAACGAGAGAATTCCTAAAAGGTTAATATTTGCTGTGCCGAACGGTAAGCGTCCGAGGGGTAGACCGAAGCGAAGGTGGGAAGATTGCATTAAAGCCGATCTGAAGGGACTGGGTTTGGACGGCGAACGGTGGAGGGAGGTGTGTAACAAGCGATTGGTGGTGTCGGCATCGAACCTTCGGGTTCGCTAAGCCTTATTATTATTATTAATAGTAGACCTCAAGAGATATAAAAAAAGTTCATATAAACAATTTCGATTTTCGGCAGAATAGTAGGAAATTTTGTGAAGTAGGAAGTTCTGTGTTTTTTTAAAGTAAGTCGTTGTTTTTGATGAACAGGAAGCGATAACCAAAACATAATTTAATATAATTAATTAAAAATTGACTGACTGTAAACTACACAAAATTTAATTCAAAATAAAGTTGAGTTTGTCATTGTTAAAACGATTTAAAGACGACTTTTGAGCGGATAAACTAAGCTGAGTACTGTTTTTAAAAAATCATGAAATATCTGCGATTTTTATTATTTATCCTTCAACTATACTACAAAAGACACCCCACTTTTAGATAAACTTTTTTTTTTTTAGTAATCTTTAAGTCCATATTACATAAGTTGCAGATTTATTATGAAATAAGTTGAAATCCATTTCAAGTTATGTAAAAAAATGAGATGTTCTGATATTCTGTCATCTTAAAGTACCCATGTTTTCAGCAAAAATGATTACAATAAATTATTAAATTAAACTTTATGTTATTTTTCACTTTATCTGGGATGTACTATATAAACATAAATTTGTAAATTAACTTTCTATTTATTACAAAAACAAAGTTAAAAATAATTATTTTTCAAATATTTATCATTTAAAATAGTAATGAAACTGTGTATTATATTAAGCTCTGTATTAAAGAAATTTATAAGTGATCAACTAAATGTTTCCAATCCTATTATTTACAATTTCGTGAAAATAATTCAAGCAATCAGCAAGCTTCTTTATTTCACACATAGATATTAGGATTGGAAATATTTAATAAGTCACTTATAAATAGGGATCAATTTCTGTAGCAGAAATCTTAATAAAAAAACTCAGTTTTATTATCAGTTTTTATGATAAATATTCAAAAATCATTACTTTTAACATTTTCATTTTAATAAATAAAAATAAAGCCTCGTGCGAAAAATTCGCACAGCATATTGTTTTCTAATGCCAAACTAATAAGAGAAGAAAATAATGCAATGTATCCAAAGATAAAGAAATCAATAGTTACCTTATCAATAAATATAATTGACAAAGGAAATAAAAATTAATTTAAATATTCATTAATGTTTAGAAACAACATGTTTACAAATTTCAGTAAAGCTGTATCTTTGCTAAAAATTGTCCGATTTCGATGATTTTTTTTTCCTTTTGTAGGGAATTTATTAACATTTATATAATCATGGGCATGACCAAGGGAAAAGTGTGTAATTTTTTAGTTATTTGCAAATAAAGTTTGTTTTCTTTCATAACTTGTTTGCCTGGATTTTCGGGGTGATTTTGCCCGCCTGAAGGACAAGGAAGACTTGTAAATTGGTGGCTCAATGTTGAGATTTGGTGAAGAATCAACGATGATATGGCTTGCCGATCAAAAACAACATCGATAAATAATATAAACTCTTCCTCTCTCGATCATAGGGGCATCAAGTCGACAAAATGAGACATGTATTCAATAACAGTACTACAATTAACGTAACGTTGTGTGGATGCGAACCCTAGGCCTTGCGTTATCTCGAAAATAGTACGTTTTTGGGCTTAAAAACGCAGGATCCGATAGTTCCGGAGAAACTATCCGGGTCTTGCTGTACGCATCAAAATCTTCAAGGTCCTATATGTCCTGCATCGAAATACAGACATACCACCGTTCCAGTATTGAAGCCTAGCAAAATGTTTGTATTGACTTTATTTATTTTAGAAAGAAAAAAAAAATGTGAAGAATACGATTCGCCAGTAAAATTAACCCCCAGTGAAATTCTGAATCGAACCGTACCCCATTCATGGTATTTGAGCATGACAGGAGCTTATATTTGGTACAAAACCGATTTCGAGGCTTAATGTAATAATATATGTGGGGATAATACATCCCAGGCAATGGGAAAAATAAATTAAAGCTTTGCAGTCATTTATTGAAGAAATTTTTGTTCAAAACACGGGTACTTTACGGTAACAGGATATCAAAACACCTTAAGGTAGATTTCAACTTATTTTGTAATAAATCCGCAACTTAATTAATAAGGACTTAAAGCTTACTAAAAAAAAAGTTTATCTAATTTAATTTTTCTCTCCCCCTTTTTTTTCCTCTCAAATTATTAGGAGGGGGAGGAGCAACTCAATATTCTCGCTCCATCAACATTTTTATTGAGTGGGCGATTGCCTCCTTCGCCAACTCCCTCCCCAGAATCTGCACCTGTGTTATATTACCTCCGTTTAAAATATACTTCAAAAATAATAATAATAATAGCCCAACAATGCCAGAAAATAATTTCTATTCAAAATAGAGCGGTAAATGAAAGTTGTGTGCTGTGTGCACCAGATTTTTTTATTTAAGGGCATGTTTATGTTTTGAATAATTAATATTTTAATTGGAATTATGAACATATTAGTTCGAAAACAATAATTAGAACTAATTACAAGTTTGATCGAATAATTGTTGATGCAGACTTTAATCAATAAAAGTTTACTCCTAACTAGAGTAATACTTTTAGTTTGCTTAGTGTAACATAAACCATCTGTCCAACAATCTCTTATGTAAATGGTATTATTATGAGATTTTAAGAACATGTAATGGAACCTATTCAATCAATTTCTGAAAAATTAACCCAGACCATTACTTAACTGAATATATATTTTTTAATTGAATCACGGTATTTAAAGAATACAGTATATAAATAATAATCTGCCAATGTTCATTGTTATTATAGTTTTAATTTATTTATTTGTATAAAAAAAATCTGGTGTGTCCCCTCACACAACTTTCCTACCTATTTATTTTTAAAAAGTTTTTATATATTTAAATATGTCCATTAAGAAACAAAAAAAATTAATTAGATTAATTTTCCTGAAAATTGATCAAAGAAAAGATTTGAGTACGATTTCTTTGATAAACTAAAGCAATGTAAACCGGGTTGTGGAAGATCAGTATAAAAATCCAATATGCTCTAATATTGCTAAGCAAAAACTTTTAGCCAGATCCCAATTTTTTCAGACAGTAATTTCTGATAAAATAGAGAAAATAGTGAAACTTTTGTGTGATGCGGGAAGCAGAATTTTTTACTTCCACTTACTTTTCTTTTTTCTATCTGGCACTAGAATATGAACTCATAATCTTATATTAGAAATTGAATAGCTGTATCTTCGTTAATAATAATAAATATAATTTATTAATAATTTAAATTAGTTTCACTTATTGCGCAGCGAGCACCCAATTTTTATCACAAGCATCACTAGTCAAAACTCTAAAAAATAAAAAAAGAAGCAACAAAAGTTCCCGAGATAATCTTGGGACAGACAGAAAGACCTTTGAAAATGTGGTTTTCCAACTCAGGGTGTACTGACATCGGAAATTTGACCTGATCACAAGGTAGGAAATGTAATAAATTAAAACATGTGTAGAAAATAGAATACACTTTATCATCGCTAATACTACTTCTATTCCGATGAATTTTTTTTTGCTTAGTAGATAATTTAAATACCTTTCAAAAGTTTGTATGTAAATTTTAAAATAGAATATAAACTTAGTGAGTTACGCCCAAAACATTTTTCTTAACTTTATAACTTTTTTTCGAGAATTTACTATGTACGGAAAATTGGAAGTACATTAATCAGAAAATTATAGGAAAGTTTCATCAAAATTCTTAGAGCCGTTTTTGTGCTAGTCTATAAAAAAACATGTTTTTCACTTATTGTACAGCTACTATTGCGCAGAGAGCACCCAATTAGTGTTACAGGCATCGGTAATCAAAACCCAACAAAATAAAAAAAACAATAAAATCAGTCTATTAGTTCCTGAGATAATCTTGGCACAGACAAACCAATGGCTAAAAATGTGTTTTTCGGACTCTGAGAGCTCTGAAACGTTCAGATATGTCGAAAACCGCTCATTGGAAATTTGACCCGATCGCAATACTTTCCTTACCTAGTATAGGTAGGAAAGTAATAAGCGTTTGTTGGTTAAAAGTCAAAAAAAGATGTCAGTCAGATAACAAGCAGATTGATAAATAAAGCAGTACACTCTTTATCTTAAAGTAAAAAGAGAAAAATAAGTCTTAAAAGTAAAAAGAGAAAAATTAGTATTAAAGTTTTAAGAAATCATGCATCTTGAATAGTCATACATGTGTTTAGCTATTTCATAACACTTAGGTAAATCTTCTAAAAAAAAAAATCTCTAATAGTTATCTACAACAAATCATTTATATAAATTTAATTCGCAAAGTCAAATTAAGAACACCATAAATGACTTATTAAATACATCTCTTTGGAGATAATATTTGATTGTAATTATAAGATTTTTAACATAAAATAAATTATTGCATATTCCTTACCATGCATGTTATATTTCTTGTCAGAAACAAGAACAGATAAAGCCCAAAAGGCATCCTCTTCATCAAGATACATGAGCAAGAGGGCGGCAATCTGTGACATACCCTGACAATATCCAATTTCTAAATTGTACATACTGTAGGCTCCAAGTACATTAAATAACTCTTGCTGCTTCAGATTATAGCGTTCCCTAAACATGATGTGATCACGATAAGTCCTATTTACATCTAAATCAATTTGCCTAATATCTGGTGACCATTTCCAAGCAAGTTCACGCATTTCCTAAAAATTAAATACAATTTAACTCAAACATAAAGAATAAAATTCAATGACAAAATAAACACACCTCGTTCATTAACATAAAACAACTGAAGAATATTCAGAATTAAAAGGAAAAAACAAAGCAATCAAAGAGCATTAAAAGAAACAGTCTATTACACCTACAAAAACAATTTAATTCACAACTTAAGACTGTAGATTGAATTCATTTCAAGTTATCGTGGAGTTTTAATAACAGATAATTCCAATATTAATAATTTATTATTTTACAAATATATAAATATACAGATATATTACAATTAAAAATGTGACTATCTGATTTTTCATATCAAACACTACAATCAAAAAGGAAATGACTCAATGGTATTTTTAAAATTAAGAGAGAAACTTAAATAGGTTTCATTAAAGGGTCATGAGTCAATTAATGACTGGGACAGAGAATGACAATGCATACACTTGATACAATTTATATATATGTATACCTTATAAATTTATTTCCAAAAATTGGCTAAATGACAGTTTTAAAAAATATATATGAAATAGGTATTTAAACAATCTGATATTAAGGAAGTGTTTCTGACTGATTCCAATATGGTGGTAATTTATGAGCTTTCAAAATATGATTAAAAAGTCAAATTTAAATTCTGTTTTAAAAGCTAAAAAATCCAAATACCTGGTATTTTCCGCTCTGTTCTCCTTTCACTCGATCTAGGTTAAGCATTCTACTCCAAACTTGGCCACGTAATGAATTTGGAATTCCTTTGAACACCCTCCTTCTTAGCTTTTCATTATCTTTTATTTGTTCCCACTGCTTCATCATCTTAAGCCATTTTTTAACTCTTTCCATCTCGATTTTGACCTCAGCTTCATTCGTTGTTTCTTTAACCCGTTCATCACTGTAATGTTTATTGTTTTTGTCGCTGAATAGAGCGACAACAGTATGATCATAAAACAGCACAAAAAAGCCAAAAGAAACAAACTTACAAAATTAAAAATCTCTACAAAAGAAACAAAACAAGCAACTTAAAACATAAAATTGAAACTACTATTAGATGAACTCACTGGATAAACCCATATCGATCCAGAACATGATAAATTTCCAATGATGGATCTTCCCAAGGATCAATTTTAGCTCCGTCTTGTCTTCCATGTCTATACTTGGCAACGATTGCTGCACGTTCTTCTGCAGCTCGCTGTACTAATTCTTCTTCATTCATCACACCATCTCATCACACTGTTAACAACAATATCACAAGAGAAGACAATAATCAACTGTCATTGAAAAGGAAGTAACATACTTAATTTTAACCCATAACATATAATCAAAATGATGTAAATTATTCATCTCCTTCATTATTGCCAAAAAACAAACAATATTTTGGTTGGAAATGATAACCTACCTATTATCTAAACTCCAAAATACAAGAGGTAGATTAACACAAAATAAATGTAAGTGGACATTAAAATAAAGTATACACACGCGAAGTTCTTCCATCAAAATTAAAACAATGACACCGCCAATCATAAAAGTTCAACATACTGAATAAATAGTTACAGCGTTCTAAGCCAAACCTGGCATCAGGTATTAAACAAGGAGTGCAATGTTTTTATTTTTTTCTTTTATAGTACAGGAAGTCTTTAATCAGGTGAACGATCGTGGTAGACTGATCGGGTCATTGATATTAAAAGACTTTTTAGGCTTGTCTCAGATCAATCAACAAATTTTAGTTCATCATTAAAACTAAAACACATTTTTTTAAAAAAAGTTATCCGTTTTTACTTTATATTTTAGCAACATATTGGTAAAATTTAGTTTATTGTATACATATAATAACCTGTACCAGTGAGTTGGCCGGCTATCAGTGGTGGTTATTTAGGTTTGATTGGAGTCGCAAGCATTTAATTAGTTTAGTGTTGTTAATCTGATAAAATATCTGAAAATGGTGAGCTAAAACATCGTATATATGTGTTAAATATCGGAGGTATGTTTTACAACGTTTTATTAAAATATTAAAATTAATTTAGTTCTGTTCTGTTTTTTTTTCAGACTATATTATCATTGACAAGATATGTTTCACCTATTAATCCAGCTGTGTTTCCTCACCTTACCATAATTTTGCTGGGGATTGGAATTTTCTTTACAGCATGGTTTTTTGTATATGAAGTGACAAGTACTAAATATACTAGAGATATTTTTAAGGAGTTACTGGTCTCATTAGTGGCTTCTATATTCAGTGGTTTTGGAATATTATTTCTTCTACTTTGGGTTGGGATATATGTTTAGGTATGTATTTTGCAATATTATGATCACTTTAAGGTATTAGTTGTAAGTTTATTGTCTAAATCAGGAACTCCAAAGTGGAGCCTTTAGGATGCATCCCTGTTTGGATGAACCTTGTTGCTTCAAGATTTATATCAAATGCCTTCTACATGATTTATTTCAAAATTTAGATCACTATCAATGTAGTTTAATCTCAATTGAATGAAGTTACATTATTTGTCTCATTTTCTATCCTTTTGAAAGCATACTTGTCATTCTTTATTTCACAACTAAATTACGGTGTTTGTTACAAAAAAAAAAATCAGGTTCTGTTTTCTCACCCCTAGTGCTGTCACAACCTAGAGGTACCAACTTAGTTAGCTTTAAATTATGAACTATTTAATAAAAGAGTTCTGAATCAATGGTTATTAGCAAATGGCCAAGCACAGTTTTCACATGGAGAGAAAAACAAGGATAGAATTCACGTAGAATCGAAAAGCTGAATTAAACATAATATTTTGTACTTCGTTGCTTAAAAGAATCAATAGTATAACAGTAATTATTAAACTCGTGTGTGCCAAATACGTAAAAAAATAATTCAATATTGTAACATTCATCCCTCCTAGGTGGTGAAATCTTTTAATTAAGGCGGAGGAAACGAGACAAAATTTCAGCTGAATCAGGATTGATGATTGGATTCTCCAGATCACGAGTATTTTACTTTTGGTGAAGAACTTGATGTTGGCTGATCTGTGACATCCATCTCTGGAGGTAGTTCCTCAGCTGATCCTAGTGGTTTTGTTGTTTTAACAATTTCTGTCTCACATATAGGAGTAGATAGCCCTGGAGCCAGGACCAAAAAACGGACCTCATCGCAGGCGAAGGTTTGAATGGAAATTATGAAAGTGTATAACATTTTAATTAAAATGAGCTTTGTCTGCCATTCCAAAGCCGCTGCTTTAAAAAATGGCGGCCATGCAAAGAGGTCCAAATTTGCCGAAAATGGACCTCATCGCAGTCTAGATGAATCTTTTTACAATGAAGCATCTTTTGTGAGCAGCCTTTTCTGTGCCGCTGCTTTCCATTGGCAGACATAATTTAAAAAATTGCAACTTTAGGGTAATAAATTTACCAATCTTAGGAGCCTTGAAATTATAACTACAATGAATGTGTGTGATAAAATGAAGAAAGAACTTTGTCTGCCTTCTTTAGGCTGCGGCAATCTACTGGCAGACTCAAATTCAAAAATTGCAAATTTTGATGAAAAAATTTACTATAATTAGGAGATATGAAACTTCACTATATGATACTTGTATATTAACAGTTGAATAAAAACGTAGTCTGCCTATGTTAGGCCACGGCTCTCTACTGGCAGAGTCAAATTAAAAAATTGCAATTTTTGATGAAAAAATTGACTATAATTAGGAGATTTGAAACTTCACTATAAGATACATATATATTAGTAGTTAAATAAAAACGTAGTCTGCGTATGTTAGGCCCCGGCCATCTACTGGCAGACTCAAATTCAAAAATTGCAATTTTAGGTGTAAAAATTAACCAAAATTAGGAGGCTTGAAATTTTGCTATTTGATACTGATAAATTAGATATTAAATAAAAATGCAGTCTGCCATCAAAATACCACTGTTTTGTAGTGACAGACTGAACTTGAAGTTAAATAACTTCTAGACGACGCACCTTTAGCCGCCCATTTAACTTGAGTACAGGATGTGAAAATAGTAGATAAAAGAATGAAATGTCTCATGAATACAGCCGAGCATTACTCAGATTTGAAGTAAAAATTATACAACAAATGGCACGACTACTAGCGAAAAGAAAAACAAAACAAAACCCTGTACACATTATTGGAACAATAGTACATTTATTTATTAAGTTCATCACCACGATGAACGTTCTAAGAAAAGTTCGGTTTTAATATCTTTGGCTAGAACTCATGAGATTTAGTAAAGTAAATTATTAAAATCAGTTTGAACCCATTTATTAAATAAAAAAGAAGTTCCTAAGAAACAAATGCATGATGTATTGAAGATAACGTGGGAAATACGCATGGTACCTGGTGCAACAGGTTTGCTCCACATATGTTTTCACTTGATCAGCAGTTTCTTCTAATAAAAGACCGCCAAACATCTTTGCCGAGTTGTAAATATAACATGTATTTACAGACAAGACTACAAAGGAAATGGAAAAACCCCTTGAGGGCACTACGAAGAGAGGCGAAGTCCAGAGCACTGCCCTGAAAGGAAATAAGCTATTAGAAAAATTGTCTGTGAAAAAATTTTTAGAGCTGGAGGGGGGAGAGAAAGCCATTTTAGGGTGCAACTGGAAAATATTCAGTTTTAGGAAGGCGTTTGAAAGAGTGAATACTGTGGGGAAATTTGCAGAGGGTAGTCTTTCGAGGTAGTTGAAAGTGAAAGAGTTTTGGTAATCTTGAAACAATGTGTGATGAAGGGTGAAGATTCTAGACCTGGAAGGCGGTCAAGAATTGGAGTCTGGAATTGAGAAACGGAAAATATCCCGTGAAAAGTAACGTGAAGAGTAGCAGTTAAGAGGTATGTCACTATTTATCAACCAATCATTCACTTGCTAGGAAGTCATAGTTACAATATTTATTTCTTAATTAAATAGACAAACTATTTTTCTTTATTGTAAACTTTATTATAAAAGTTGACTTTTTCTTATAATAATTTCTTTATATTCTTATGATAAGCATCCCTTTTCCCGCAACTTTTTGGTTTCAATTCAATCATGATCAGAGGTCTCCATTCAGACTAATCTCTATAAAAGGGATTTTTAGCCATTATCATTAATATCTTAAAGTGAATAGTGAAACAAAATAAAATAATATCTACATTTCACTGTTGTTTTTTTTTTTTTTTGTGTGTGTTTTTGGAATATGAATTCATACAAATTATTTTTTTATTCTGATCCTCTATTTTAGTTATATGGTTATGTATATTATCTTTATTATTATCAACACCGCAATTAATGTGTTAATTTTCATATTTGATTAAAAAAAAGAAACATTCATTATCCCAGTTAAATTGGATATATATTTTAATTTGTATTTTTATTCACATTTACATGGCTCAGCTGTATTACAAAGTTTTATTATTCATTTTTATATCGTCGGTTTATTGAAAAAAGTCATTAATGACATTTCATAACCTCAAAGGATTAAGAACTTTGATGGATTTTATATTTGTGAAATAAGAAAATTGTACACTGAAAATATGTGTTCACAAAAGCATATTTGAAAGTTGACCTATATAAAAAATGCTCTCAGTGACGATTTGCAATAAACCGACGATATCATCATTATTTATGATTTTAAAATATTCAATGATTGAATTCTTTTTTATTTGGTATTATTTTTATAAAGGGTGTCCGGTTGTCCCTAAAGCAGAGGAAAATAATAAAGTAGAGGTGATAGCAGACCTCATGGGCTACAAAAGTTACGTTTCCGCAGAAAAGTAGGAAATGCCAGTTTTCAATTTTTTTTTTCAAATATAACTAATTAGTCATAGGAAGCTATAAAAAAAATTAAGAAATTTACAACGGTTTCACTGTAAACTAAACTAAATTTGCTTTAAAATAAGGTAGAGTTAGTCATTGACAAAACCATTTAAAGAGGACTTTTGACCAGACAAACTCAGCAAAGTTAAGTTTGTTTTTTTAAATTATGAATTGTTTGAGATTTTTTTTACCACCCTCCAACTATACTACAGATAACTCATTTTTAGAAGAAATATTCTTGTTTAAATAGCTGTAAATCCATAATAATTAAGATTCATCTCAAGTTGTGTAAATAAATTATGTGGTTTAATATCCTGTCACCTAAAATACCTATATTTTCAGCGAAAATGTCTAGAATTAATTATTGAAAAGTTTTATTAAAATTAAATATCTGAAATCAATTGGTCTGGTATATATAATATATACTTATCCTTCATATCTTTAATCTTTTTAAGATCTTCTATATTACTTCATTCATTGCATGTGCCAGTCAATTAACCAATTTAAGGAAAATTTAAACAAATATATTTAATTATTTGTCGGTTAATAATTGTCACATTTTTGTATTCGTTTAGTGAATTATCTTTAAATTTTCTATGATTTATGTTATTCCTTATTTTTTTTTTCAAATT